AACCTGTGACACGCGTGTCAGAGGTGACACGCGAACTCATTTTTTTTGGTTGATTTTTCTTTGTTAAATGGCATTTAAATATATAAAATAAATATCAAAAATATAAGTCTTTGTTTTACTATGGTTGCAAATATCAAAAAATTTCTATATGTGACACGGCACCAGAGTTAAGTTAGGGTTTTTCAAAATGCTGGCACGCCGAGCCCTAGACTAGCGAGCTTCTGCGGCAACCCTTTTCCGGGACCCCTCTGGCATGCTGAGAGCTTCGTTACTTCCGCTGTAGTAAATTTCGCTTCCCTTTTGCTTACCTCTCCCTTGTCCGTGAATTCATTCATGGACAACAAACCTAACAGTTCACACTCATGTCTCAAGACCATTTACTTATTCCAAGATCAGGAGATCTACTGAACCAGAACAGAAAACGGTAAGTCATAAAACAAGAGGAACACATTTGATTTCCTCTCAAATTAAAAATTTTAGAAAGGTCTTACATCAAAGTGCAGTGATAAATTGAGAGAAAATTTAAAAGGATAAAAAAAACACCTCTTAAAATCAATAAGAGAAAGACATATAATGTAACAGCAGTAGATAAATTCATGAAGATGGTGAAGAGGCAATTCTGGCAAGAGCAAATCCAGGCAAGAAACCAATTAACAGACACTCCCCAGCAGAGAACCGCAAATTGAAAAAACCAAGAAGGTCACTTCTCACCTGGCAGAGGAGCAAAAATTAAAAATAGTGATCACACCTGCTGATGAAAGGCATGCTTGGAAATACTCTCATACATGGCTGTTGGAACTGTGAATTACAATAAAAAAAAATTCCCTTTTTCCAGTAAAACCATTCCTGGGAAACTACCATGGAAATAAAGGCAGCAATTCATTGGGGTCTGGCTAGGACCACGTTACCATAGCCTGGTAGTGGTGGCAATCGGGAAACCAAGTGAGTGAAGGCCCTTTCAAGAAGGGAGTGGACTCTTACGCAGCCATTACTAGTAAAAAGACTGAGTTAGGCCTGCACCCCAACATGGCAGGATTTCTACTATGTACTCACAGTTAAAGGAGAAAAGCAAGGTGGAGAGTATTGCATGTTAATATGATTCAACTTTAAAATATATATATATATATTGATTTCAGAGAGGAAGGAAGAGGAAGAGAGAGATAGAAACATCAATGATGAGAGAGAATCATTGATTAGCTGCCTCCTGCACATCCCGTACTGGGATCGAACCCACAACCTGGGCATGTGCTCTGACTGGGAATCTAACCGTGACCTCCTGATTCATAGGTCAATGCTCAACCACTGAGCCATGCCAGCCGGGCATGATTCAACTTTTTAAATATAATAACACCCATCCCCTCAAAATATAAAACTTCTGTGTGTGTGTGTGTGTGTGAATTGTTAGATAGAGTGGTGGAAGGAAGGAAGTTACTAAGGAAGCAAGCAAGCTAAACAGGCTGTTAACATGGAGAGGGAGGGGAGAGAAACACTACTTAAAAATAAGTCTCTATACTTAAAAACCATGTGTATAATGTGACTCCATCCATGCAAAATTATGTGCATAGAGATGGGGGGAAGGGTGGTCACCAGAATATTAATGATGGTTATCTCAGGGGGTGGAATTGCAGGTGACTTACTTTTTCCCTTATATTTTTTTCTGTGTTTTAAAGGTTATATCATGAGTAAATATTATTTATATAATCTGTGGAAAACAAAGCTATTTTCATGGGGGGGAGGGGGAAGTACTGGCACGTAGAGGTCCCCAGGGGACCTCATTTAATGAGCACAGAAGATCAAAGATCGATATTTAATTAACATATCAATTGCTGGCATGTCAACTGATGTTTTCCAAAACGCTTGCAGGGTAGGTTCTCTTCAGTAGCCAAACTGTCATCTGAAACATTGTTTATAATCCTCCCATTTAACTAAGACTGAAGAATGCAATGATTACAAATGCCAATGGGGCAGGAGATATTAAAGGAAGTTTTATTTCAGTGCCCCATCAAATAACTGGATAACTGGATCTCCTGTACTCATCACAGCTTAGAAGTCCCTCGCCAAGCTAATCTCCTGGCAACTCCCCAACCCCTTCATCATTGCTTTCAAACTTTTTTGTTAAAGCCTTTTTTTCCTAGACCTCTCGGTAATGGTTCTTAAAGTCTTCATTTTAAATCTTCAGTCTTGGTTTTGCTCTTCTTACTACTTCCTTCTCACGCTGCTTGGCTTCCCTCAGCTGGGCATGCCTCTTGCGTTAAGTGGGCACCGATTTCCCTCTTCTCTCATGCCTTCTCTGCACGCACCTGCCGGGTTCGGAGGGGGGCTGCAGGGCTCAGACCTGTATACGCGGAGCTTGGACATGCCAGGCTCTCGAAAAACGATAGAGTCAGCAGGTTAAACGGGAAGTTGGGCCTCGCAGGCTCTTTCTTTCGCAACATGCATCGAGCATTGCTGTATGTCCAATGTCCAGCCGCCACGGATTCCACGGTGAATGGCCCCGGAGAGATCACAGCCAGATGTGTGGTCAGTGCTGGGGAAGCACCTGGGGAGGATGCCACTGCAGGGAAGGCGGTGGGGGACGGCTGCTCGAACTTGGCCAAGACATGAGCAGCATCACCATCGCCTGGGAACTGGCTGGAAATTCTAATTCTCGGGCCCCACTCCCGACCTTCCCAAGCGGACACTCGGGGGGTGCGACCAAGCAGCGTTTTATCCAGTCCCCCGGGGGGTTCTGACGCACCTAGAATTGGAGAACCACGGCTCTAGTGGAGGCCTGAGTGAGGATCTTGAGAGGAGAGGGCGAGGGGGAAGGAAAGGCGGCTCTGTGAGGGCCTCTGATGCCGGTCAAGGGGGTGAGACTTTGCCCCGTAGGTGCTGCCTCCAGGGTGGCGACAAAAGCAGGGGCCTGCGCACTTATGCAATCTCTCAACTCGGGGCGGCTGGCAGATCAGGCATTCCCTGTGCACCTGGGTCCCGGGAAGGTGTCGAGTTCCCCCACCCCCCAAACGCCAGGCGGCGCGCAGAAGGGAGGTCGGCTTGCAGACATCTCCGCACCGCGGAGCCACGCGTTTGCGATCCCGGAGGAGGTGAGCCCACGCGGGAGCTGGGGAACCAGCGAAGACAGGGAAGGAGGTGCCTGGACC